CTGGACTAATTTCATGCATATTTTACTTGGCTATTTTTTCTTCCTTTCTCTAAAAATGATTCTGCCTCTACTATAGTAGAATAAAACTCTCCAATTGCCTTGGATGGATGTGGAGTACCACCGAAGTCAATGACAAAACACACCCATGTGCTCTCACTCCAACAAAGAAGTCCCACACTGTGAAGTCCATACCATGCCCCTGCAGAGAGGGTGCAACTTCCAGGGATGGCTGTCACTGGAACAGCATCTGTGTAGGGATTTGGCATGGCGTTACAGAGCAGTTTCACCAGGTGTTCTGTGAAGCAGCGAGAACACCAGCACTGACCTCAAAAGCATGAAAAAGCAGACGCAAGGCATCCTAGAAAATGTCATCAGTATCCATATCGATAAGGAGAAATGAACATTTTTATGCAATTATTGCCTATTAAAAATGCCTGGGTGTAACACTGTTTTGCAGTTTGCCACAATTTTTGGTCCTACCTCCCTTCTCTTCCCTTCGAAAGTACTGTTCAAGCAAGCGAGAGAGAAATAGAAATAACAGCTGGACTGCGTGTGATTTTTTGCATGCGTGCGTGTCAGCTAAATACGAGAGAGAGATGTGGAAGCTGTTTTCTAAGCAGAATTCTTTTTCTGTTGTCTATGAAAAGAACACAATTAGTGTTTCTAGCTCCTGAGAAGATTGTAAATAATGCGCAGATATAGGAAACACAGGCAATGGTAGGCAGAAGCTACTTCCATCTCCCACTGCAGAGTGGACCAAGGTAAAATCCCATGACCAAACTCTTTCAACATGACTTCAAGGGGTAGAGTCTTGGCTGGCTGTTTTGCTGGTGGAACTGAACTAGCTCCAAGTCTTATAACAGCTGAGGCTTTAACCCTGAAACTTTGGGATTATAAACGCTTTACAAGTGATAAAAATCCTAAGGCTGAAGATTTTGCTGCATTGCCCTGGTCTTCTACAGTCAAGACCATCACTGGAATGTATGAATACTAAATACATCGGTCTGTGCTTGGACGATTGCTCCAATCCCTTCCTAATGATTGTGTGTCTGAAACAGGTATCTTTATATTCAAATCTGCTAAAATACACTGGATAAAGGCAGGTTTCAAAGAAACAAAGCCCCACTACTTTAAGAGTCTCTCCAATTTGTTTTTAAATACTGTATTGTTTTAAAACAATATCGTCTTAGTGATTCAATTAGTCTCTGAAAACACTAAAGCCAGCCTCATGAGGGAAATTAGACAGGGTTTTTATAGCAGAATTAATATGGCAAATCCTCATATCCTGTGGAGTTTTATGTGATTGTAAAAGTAGGAAAAAAATATAAAAGGTAAACTCTGGAGTATATAGTTGAATTACTATGATCTGCTCCAGGGTCTCATAGGGTCTGGTTATTGTATATTGAAAGTAATTACTAATTCATTCCAGTTCAGGAAAGCTTTCTGACCAAACCCAAGCTTATATCTTGTGAAAAATCAACAGGAGTAAAGCACATGCTAAAATGTAAGCATGTTTTTGAGTTCTCTCCTGAGTCAGGGCTGTCCCTATATTCAAACGACTAAGGTACAATGCCTGTGCATCGTTTCTCGTTGTATTCCAATCTATGTTAGGGATCCTACAAAGCCAAAGATAACTAGTTTTGAATGTAGGTAACATTCCACATGCACTTCTGTACAAGAATTCATGCAATATTGGCATTAATACAGACTTAACTATATGTTACAGCTGAAATGCTCACTGACTTCTCCTACTGCCCAGGCATTTCTACCTAAAAAATTGCTTTTTTGGGGAGTTTGACCTCATACCCTGTTTTCTTTGTGGCTTCTACTGGTTTGAATGGCTATTTTTCCCACTGAACAATTTTTTTTTTTCTTCTTCTTCTTTTAGGCCTTTTCAGGGTCCCCCTAATTCCCTGAAGGAATTGTTGGGCTCAGCCCCACCCCAGGATGATCCTCATGCAAACAAAACTCTGCTCCCAAGGGAGCACTTGCAGGATCAGGTTTCAGATGTGGCACTAGGTGCAGCTCGGGAAGAAGGCCTCAGTGATTCCTTAGCATGCTCCACCATTTGAAGATGCTCTTCAAATAACCAAACACTACTTGTGGCAGGACAGAAAAGATCAACAGCTACCTCGACAGCCATCCATCCATCCAAATATTCATTCAACCCTTGGGATCCTGTTTCATCTTTTACAAACTGAACTCACAGATACTGGATGAAAGCACATCTCGGACTCCTTTCCTACCACCATCGGCTCTAGAAGTTCAGTTTCCTTACGGATATCAAAGACTTAGGTTTTCCTGGTGGATCTGTGGCGAGTGTCCTGTACTAAACAGCAAGAGAACTTGCATGTGATTTCATGGCTGGTCTCTTGGTTTAGCAGAGACTCAGAGGAAAGGTGGCAGGACATGCTAACCCTGACTATGACAGGAACTGCGTCACTGAAGTGACAACGCCTTTAACTGGAGTCCAAGTCCATCATCTCCAACAGGCAGGGTCATGACTACTAGTCAGGGTCCCTGGAAAGGCAGAGACTTGGGGAGGGACTCTGAGGTTTCCACCAACAGAACAGATGAGATGGTAAAAGCATGTCAAACTATCTGTCCTGCTAAAGCTTTTACTAAGACAATAGCTCTGATGAATACTATTGTTAGCGTAACCGTGGCCTTGGACATCCTTATGCTTAAAAAGTCACATTTTCTCATGACCAGTGTCTACTGTAGCACCCACAGGATTAAACAGCCAAAAATTAGCACCCATAACCAAATCTGCACCCAGAATATGTCAGCACCTTCTGTTAGAGGATCTGAAAGCCCTTTACCAACGTTAACCAACATTTGGCCTCACAACTGCCAGTGAGGTAGAACAGTATTGTCCCTGCAGGGACAGACAGACAGATTGAGGCACAGGGTTACTAAGAGACCTGCTCCCGTTCAGACACTAAATTTAGCAATGCCAAGGGCTGAATGAAGGTGTCCTGACTACTGCATCTATGCTTTGTCCACACTGCCACCCTTTCCCCCACAAAGCTTCAACATCAGCCCTTAGCCTTTGAACTAAACCCAGGATTCTATACACAACAGGTGAAACGATCATTTAGCCGTCGCGTAGTCAGAGAGTTATTCAATTAAATGAAGTTATTTGTGGGAACAAATGATTTCTTGTGCAAAACTCTGGGTGTAAACGATCAAGCACTAAGACTACTGGGTGCAAATTTGGTGCATGATAACTCTGACCCCTTGATATTTCCCAATCCTGGCCCCTCTCAGATAAATCTCTTTTTTCAGTTGCATTATACGTATCATCACATGAACCTCTGAAGATGCAGCCTGCACAGATGGTTTCATACCAGCAACGCAAGCAAACAAAACACGGAGTGGCTTTGGGAACAACCCAGCATTCACGTAGCATCAGACATCACAACGTTGTAGTTCATTCTAATCACAAGGGGTTGCAAAGGAATAGGTGTACATGTTGACACAAAGGCAAACGGAGCAACAAAGGAAGATCTGATTGCATGGATTTCATTTAGGTAAAGTTCTGTAATAATCAGTTTCATGGAAAGCTTATTCCATGAGAAAGGGAGGCAATGCCAGCTAGCCTGTGACAAAGCTTCGGCGTAGTAAAAACCACCAGCCCTGCGTGAATAGATGAACTTTGCATTCTGTAGGAGTCGTTACTGATTAACAAAAGCAAAAGCTTTCTCTAAATACAGTAAGTTTGTTTTTGTCAGATAGAAGAGTTTCTTAAAATATGGGGTTTTTGAACACCACAACATTCCATTTGTTATATAAGTAGAGAATCTGGCCATAGTTAGGAATACTGACGTGTAAAAAACCAAATATGTAATCTTAAACATTACAAAAACTATCAAAACATTCAATATTTTGAATTGATTTTTTTTTTCCCCTACATGTCTCTGTTTTGGCAGTGATGACAAGATTTCTAAACTGAGTTGTTATTACTGTTTTGCAGTTGTTGGTTGGTTTTTTTTTGTACATTTTTCTAAATGTGTTTTTTAAACAAAAGAAAATTACCAGCTTTTATAAAAAAGAAGGAGTTTGAATCCTTACTCCCAAAACACAGATACAAGGTTTTCCTTTATAAAAAGTGTATTGATTTTTTTGCTATAAAAAGTGACCTATAGGGTGTCAAACCTGAAAACAAATTTTCACAGTGTTTTCAGTGTTGGCTGTTCACAAGGCATTACTGTTACAAACAGAGATAGAGAGATACCATGGGGTAGGTATAAAAATTTCTTACCAGCTAGCAGCAGCTTTGGATCACATGTGAAAGGTGTTCCACTCCAGATAACTCAGCTGACTTACATTTTTTTGCTTAATCATTAAAAAAAAAAAAAAATCCCAATATTTGAATCACTATTGTACTAACCTTACTTAGCATCTTACACAATCATTCCTAATCTCATCTAAGTTTCTGCTGGCATATTAAGCATCAAACTAGCAAGTCATTTCCCTTCCTGCCCTCCAACAATAAAACCAGTATTAGTTAGTGTGCAGGTCTAAAATCAGGGCTGCAAATGAGGAGCAGGTGAGCTGGCAACCGTTGGCAGTTTGGACAGGTGGAGAATATCATTTGCTCTACTTGAGCTTGCAAACTGGTCAGCAAGTGATCCATTTGCACACTTTTCGGGGGAGCTACTTTTCTATCACTAGGCAAATTACGTAGTCGCAGCAGAAGAAGTAATAATAGAAGAAAATGGGAAACGCACAGGATCATTGGCATATTGGCCCCAAATTGCTCGCAATGTCCATTTTGCATCCCTGTAACTTAGAAGAATGGTATCCCTCTATCTCTATAGACTGGTAGGTGTTGATTTGTGGCACAGAGGATAAATCACAGAAAAAAAAAAAGACATATAACTGTGTGTCCTTTGTCTGATTTGAAAGCACCAGTCACCTATCTGCTTATTTTGGCAGAAGTACTCTACTGTATCTTAAACATAACTTGCAATATGGACATTTAGCTTCGTGTCGCTTTACATGGAATCTCCAAGGGAATCCGAGTCATCCAAAGACAGAGGCAGATACAAGTCCTGTAGGAAGAAAGAAGAAAATGTTAACTCACACAGTCAGTTTCCTGACCTTTGGTCATGCCTAAGGAAGCAGTTGAATGGTTTGGTTCCGTGCACTTCACAGGGACAGGGTGGAAGACTCGTGCACTGGTTACTGGATGGGCTGACCAGTTCCCAGGTAGTTCAAGGCTAATATCAAGGCAAGTTACCTTCACAGTGGAGCAAGAGAGTCTTGGTACCAGAAGAAAGATGACTGTTCAGTGATAAGTTTGAGAAGTACTTTTTATTGCTTCTGAATCAATGTGTCCATTATAGCACATGCATGAAAGAGCAGGACCTTTTCTTAAACAGGTCTCTTTGAAACTAAGTCCGTGATAAAGAGTCTTACCTTGATTTGACAGCTACCCTTAGGACAAATCTCTAGGAAAATCACGTGTTCCATGACTTATTCTTTATTTTAAGTCATTTCTGATTGATTAGAAGGGTTAAGAAAATAATCCCAGATTTATTATTTGGATTAAATGCTGAATGTAAAGCTTTTCCAAGGTCCCTTTCTTACCCTTTCCAGGGTATAACCATCTTATTCCCCTTCCTTAAAGTTCTGCATGGAATTAGGTACACAAACCTGCTCAAGGGCTAAAGCTCTCCTTGGACCTTTTTGAATCCTGATTCACACAGAGGTAATTACTGTGAGCAAAAGGAAGAAAAGCCCAAACATACAGAAGGGAAAATCACAACAATCTTGATATAAGAAGAGGTAAAATATGACTTTGTGGTGAACTCAACCTAAGCATTTATCATTTGAGCTTTAGGGTGGAAAAAAAAAGATTTCATCATAAGCAGAAAATTGCTCCTGGGAGGAAGACAATGATCCATGAATATTCTGGTAACCTAAAACACTACGTTTGTGTCTGCTGATTGGCTTAAGTTAGTGGAGAAGATCGTAGATGGATTGGCTTTGCCCTCAGCTGTCACCATCTATTACAAGTCTTTTAGGAGCTTTGCTGGAAAGGTCATAAATCAGCCAGCTGAAAACACACTTAAAACATAAAAGAACATTGAGTTTTACTTGTTTTTACCAGGAAGCAAATACTCCTCTCCAAAGTCCTAACTGAGATAGTGTTTGGAAAGTATTTTAGGTCCAAAGGATGCAGTTTACAGCATTACTTTGGCTGAAATACACACAAGCAATTGTTGAATTCAGACTATGGGCTAGATCCTGTTCTCAATTATAAATCAATAATAAATGTGGACCTGTTGTGTTAAAATTGGTGTATTTCCTCAGACTTAGACTGAGCAGCTGAGATCAGAGTGAAGTCCTGAGGAAAACACAGATTTCATTTGGATTCAGCTATGCCTTTGTTAAAGAAAGTCAAATAAAGTCAAATAAAGCTGAGTAACTACAGCCTCTCCATGTGGTGGGAATATTTTAAAGATCTGATTTTTGAGAAGCCAAAATTCCACCACAGACTCCCTCAGTACCATTTAACCCCATGTTCAAAGGTCTGTGATCCAAGATCTTACATGGTAGAGGTGTACTCCAAAGGCCATTGGAATTTTGGGGATTCTTCCCATTGACTTCTCTGTGCTTTGTTCCACCATCGTAACAACTGTAGTCCTGCTGCTGCTACCACTCCTCACTTGGAGGAAAAACATAATCCTCAAACAGAATGAGTTTAACCCATGCAATCCAGCCCGCAGTGGATTACACGTAGCTGGCTGACTGCAAACCCTCACCACTATCAGAATTTTTTAATCACTCTTCCAGAATTTCAAGTTAATATTATCAAAGTCATACACGGGCTGAGAGGTACACTGTGATTACTGAAGTGAAATGTCACTGACCTCCTCTCACACATACATTTATGTCCAATTTCCAATTTCTGTATCAAGTAAAGACTGTTGGAAGCAACACTGTGGCTATCCCAGAAATGAGAAAGCCCATGGAAATGACAATCTGGACTCAGCACAGAATGGCACTGAAGGACAGAAACAGAAAAAGCTGTGACTGCTGCTATACCTCTTAAATAAATGAATTTATTATGAGCCAGCACAGGTTTACTGATCTCTACCAGGATGCCACGTTACCAGTTAGACACTCTGTTTGTTACCAGGAAAAGCAGCTACTATACCAGAACACAATGACTACACTAGCTGTAAAAAAAATCACTTATTTCCTGCAAAACAGAGCATGGCCGTAAATAATTAAAGAAAAAATCCTTGAGAAGCATCATTAAAGTGATGTCTGAGACCTTCAGTAACATTTGCATTTCTTCTGCTGTTTAATGGACCAGATTTGCCAACACTTAAGGCTTTTCAAGAGAGGAGGATTTAGATGAAGATCACATCCATCAATATCTTGTGAAATTTCTCAAACAGTGCTACAAGCTTAGGGTTAAGTCATCTCTGCTGATCCATATGGATGATGTTCAGCACACATCAATAACTCCAGCGGAAGAAACAGGCCAATGATTCGTCGTTCACCGTCTTGCTAGAGCCCAAAGTGACAACCCTTTTAGGTAACGGGCCAAATCCTCCACTGTTTCAACATAAGGAGTTGTGCTTCCAGACAATATGGCCATGACTTAAATGCCATACAAATCTGAGTAGACTGAGAAACAGATGTAGTAAGGTATAAGAAACGTAATACCTTGTGCTTACGGAGGCTCCCTGGGCTGGTGGGTGTGGAGATCGGGGACTGCTTTGATTTGGGTGTAGACAGCTGACTGCTTGAGGTCCCATTTGCTGTCAGAAAACAAGACAGAAGCTAGCAGTCAGGCAAGCAAGAGGAAGATCTTCTTTCTCCTTCAGGGAGATGGAAGGTGTCCAAACATTGAACACAGAAACACTATAGTTTATTCATGTTAGACAGGAGAAAAAAAAAAAACAACTGAACAGCATGGCTATTCACCCAACTTAAGGCTTTCAGCTGTTCAGGATAACAGACTGCAAAATAACAGTGAAATACAAAATATACCGAAGGAGCAATATTTTACACTACAAATATTCACCAAATTGATCCAAGATATACATCGCCAGAAAAACAGAGAGACAGTTTCTACGTTCAGCACAATTGAAACCACCTGGCGTTAAGGGCAGGAGTGGAAACCAGAGGCTGCAGATATCCTGGATCCTACGCCAAAAATGTTAGATGTTAAATGTACACATTGCAACTTAGACAAACAGCTGCCTGGAATGCCCTGGATGTGCTTAGCCATGGCTGGGATTAAATGACCAGAAGAGCCCTTCTGAAGGCCCGGGGTAAGCGCAGGGTGGCACGTCCCTGTGCACCTCGCTGGGGAGAGGCCAGAGCTGCCTCTGCTGTTGCCCCACTGCCTGCCCCAGAGAAGTGAACACGGTCCATCACAGGGAGGAACAGCAGAGTCACGTCAAGCGACGATCCTCTTGCAAAGATCAAAATCTGGCCTTTTGGGTTGCTTTGTTTGTTCATATTGCTTTGAGGAAAACATAGTTATTCTCCATTTTTAAAAAATATTATTAACTTAAACCAAATGGCTTTTGAAAGGGTTGTTCTTTGAGGCCTTCCCAGACCTGGCTTTTACTTAAAGTGAAGGGCCACAGGCCTATGTCAGGGCAAGCTATTATGCGTTTATCGGACTACAAAGGAATTAAAGTAAATAGCATATCACGCAGAAAAATGAAGAGAAACAAAATAGAACGAGGATAAATTATTTTTTTCCTGCCACTGATGTTCTTTGAAGTGGCTAATGTCTTTGATAATTGCCAGGTGTCACAATATGTATTTCACAAGGACATACTTACATATAGTGAACTTGGGCACTCATAGGTTGTGCATCAACTCCAGGGATACAGACCCTCTTGTTACCAGGAGTTGTAAACACAGAGCTCCATCAGCACCAGCAGCATTACTCGAGGGAAGGAAATTCAAACTCATGCTGGCTGTGTCCAAGTAGATTATCTTTTCTGGCCTTTTCTTTTTGCAATCCAAGCTGCAGCAAGCTGGAGGCCTTATAAGCATTAAACTACATACCACAGTCAAGTCTACAGAAAGTGACATTTCCAAAACCTACTCCAGATGTTAACATATTCAGCACAAGCCACAAAACTAAACCCCAAATATTTTGATTGTCATTTCCTTAAATGGCAATAGTTTTGCCAGCCCTCCAGAAAACTATACAAACCCCTTTTAAAGAAAGCATTTTAAATTGTGTTGATGTTTCCCACAGAGAGAGAAAGACAAGCATACAATGATCCAGACTTCTTGTCCTGCTCCCTAAGAGCCCAATACCTCTGCATGCCATTACTGTAACTGTAAAGGCATGTGCACAGGGGGATGGACGACTTCAGCATACGAGACGCGTGCTTCCAACTGTAATAGCTGAATATGCTAATCAGTTACTTAAAATTAAGCAAGCAGTTGAGTGTCTGGAGGAGACCTAAGAAGTGTATAAAGTATCATACGGTAAGAAGAAGGTGTGCCAGTGAGGATTTTTAAGAGCAAAACCAGAGGAACTATTGTTTTAATGCCTAAGCCAGCCTCATTCCTCTTCTCTGTTATCTTCTTGTGAGAAAGAGGGGTGTCACTCACCAGCCTGGGCTGCGGCACCAAGGATGCTGTTGCATCCTCCGCAGCCAGGAGGAAATGGCCTGCCTCTTGTAGGCAGGAGAGGGACCTTTGGGTTAGTAGAG